AAAGGTGGTGTTTACACGAGGCAAAGAGAAAACACGATATTGAGACAGTTGCCAAATAGAATAATTATAGCACAAATACTGTAAAGGTGCCTGGCACCAGCAACCTGAGAAAGTGTTAAAAAAAAAAAAAAAAGTGTTACAAGGTTTAAAAAAAAACCATCTTTGCTAATTTTTAGTCCTGTTGAACATTTCATGGAATTGTTAATATGACTATTATAGACCCACACAGGTTTTATTTTTGTGTCTTTAAAATAAAAGTCCAAAATATTTAAATTTTATGGTCAAATATGCAGTCAACAGCTGCTACTTTTTTCTTTATATATTAAATTTCTCCTATGTCTTTTATTGTTCTAATAAACCTAAGCTTGTGTGACCTCCAGTGCATATTAGACCATTCACTGTATGAAAGAAAACATGTTGAATAAATTTGTGAGTTTTTAATAAAAATAGAAAATCTGATGTTCAGATAATTGGTGTGTTATTTTATAATTTAACGATGAGAGGAGAGCCTTGTTAGGGAAGTGAATGGCCCTCCAGAAGCCAGGAGGAAAAGAGAGGCAGGATTGGGGTGATATATCCATTTTTGCCTTGGCTATAGCTGAACCTCCTTGCTAATGCCAGCCAAGCCTTTCTCTTAGGCTTCCTGCTGTTATTAACTACAGATTTGCATTCTATGGATTTAACTAATACAGTTGAAGAGATGTTTGCTGATAAGTTAATATAGAATCTGAAATAGAAATCGAATCCAAGGCTAAAACTGAGTGGTCCAGTTTGTGATTAGGTATGAGATCCTGTACATTGTCTCTGCCCTCTTCCCCCATGCAAAAAACAAGCTTGTGAATGTCAACCTGTAAATATATAGTTAGAGGTGATCCTTTTCAGTTTCAATTCATTTCCCATAGATAATCCTGCTTTCTAATTTGGTGACTTGAAAGATAACGTAAAATGAATGTACAGTGCAGCTAGAAAGGAAATACTTTAATCCCTTCTGCAGAACTGATATGAAATCGTTGTTTTATTTTATAGTATCTGTTACATTTGAAGTTCCCCAGAAGGAAAAATATTTTGCCTGGCACAAGATATATATTAAATTTCTCTAGAAGATGAATAAAAATAAGCAATATAGAAATCAAATTTCAACTGCAAGTTGCAAATAGATTTTGAAAAGTAGTTCAATCCCTTCATTAGCTATGGAAAGAATTTAAATATTTTATCTACTATGAAATAGGTGTGTGGGAGTATATGTGTGTGTTTTAATATCAGATGCTATTAGCATTCCAGAATTTCTCCTTCATATCATCTAGGTTTCAGTCTGGATTATTTATTTCCTTATTTTAGAAATCAAGAGTTTTTACATTAAATGGTATGTAATTTCCAGTGCTGTTTTCATGGTTTGTTAAGACACAACCAAGTTTATCTTTCCTGCAGAGAAGCCTTTAAAATAAGCAATATTTCACTGCATCCATATGACTGTTTATCTAATAAGGGGGAAAACTCTCAGAGAGGAATCAGCAGTGCTCTTTCAGAAATCGGAATTTATGAAATACAGGAGGGACTTTTGAAACTCCTAGCCTCTGCAGGCAGCTCATTTCTTCACCTACTTTATATGCAATCACTGGATCGGCTTGTTTTTGCCCTTTTAGCATTTATATACATTAAATCATACCCAACTTCTTCATTATAGAGTCCTCCTCCCCTTTTAAAGACATTCATTTAACTGAACGTATGCTCATTGGGAAGCTGCATTTTCCTATCAAGGCTGTTGAATTATTTAGCAGCTTTATTGTGGCACCGCGTACTTGATAAGCTTTTTAGAGTTAGGCACCACGGTGTGAACTTAATTCTTCTCTCTGACTCTGCGGCAGCGGTGCAGTTTTTCCCTTCCGCGCGGTATCCTGAACCCTGGCGAATACCCGAACAGGTGGCAACGCTCACCAGTCAAATTTGGAGCCGAAGGCCCAAGAGGAGGAGTTCTAGAAACCACGGACACTGTCCTTTCTCATCCGAGCCGCGCTGCCCATCTCTGGGCCAGAGGTGCGAGGCCGCGCTGCGTTTTCCCCAGTCCGCGGGGTTGGGAGCTCCCAGGGGAGGCGCGCGGGCCGGAGGGGAGCGCCACAGTGGTCCCCTCCCTCCCAGGAGGGCAGCCTTCTCTCTGGCCGGGTCTGGCAGCCCTGTTTCTTCTCGCGGCCATCTTAACGCCGCCTCCCCGGTAGTCCTGCCACCTGCCCTCGGGGTTCCAGCGGCTGGGGTCCGCCATCTGCACCGGTGAGGGAGCGGAAGCTCACTCACCCAACCCCTCCAGACTGGTGGAGGATAGTGGGCTGGTTTGGAGCCAGGTAGGATAGGGGAAGAGTATGCGTGGTGAGCCAGGACGGGCATTGTCAGGAGGCCTGAGAAGAGAAGCAGTTCTGAACCTAGTTTGCCCGAACTTGAAACCCCTAGTTACTTGAGCAGTTCATTGGGACAATTGGGGGGGGGTGTTGGTGAAGCTCTTCCCATCCTCTGTTACTCCCACATCCACCTGCCACTGCAGCCCTTAGGCAGCAGAGAGTTCGTGAACTGGGAGACCTCTCTGACTTCTGTGGAGAGGACTGCTTTTTTGGAGGCGGGCTCTCCTTCATTCTCACCTCCTTGCTAGAGCAGCCAGAGGGTGAAATTTCTCCTAGGGAAGTATAATCTTTGAAATCTTCCCTTCCGTAATCCCTGACCCATTCCCATCAGGCATTCCTCCCCAGGATCTCAAGAAACTAGAATATTGGTAGGGAAGAAGGCGCATTTGGGAAGTTATGTTCCCTGAATTTTGGGGTAACTGGGATGTATATGACAGGAGTGGAGTGGTCTTGTTCCTTCCTAAAAAGGCTTCCTAAGTCAGTGGGGACCGGGACAGAGAAGGGTGGGTAGATCGACAGCAATTTTTTCTGGGTGGGTGCCCAGCCCAATCCTAGAATTAACCAGCAGTGACCTGCTTGCATGATAGTTCAGAGGTGGTCTCTGCCCCTGCCTCCTTTCCCTTCCCTCCTCTCTTTATCCAAAGACCGAGGCAGGATCACTATGGAAGTAGATTGCCCAACCTTCCTTCCGAGGGGTGGCTGGTGGGTTTGAACCGCCAGCCTTCTGGGTAGCAGTCTTAGGCACCATGCGGTCAGAGCTCCCCTGCATTATTAATGTCCTCAGTAGCGAGGGAAGAGGACTGGGGAGAGCAGTCTGCTAAACGTGGGGAATGTGGGGTGGGAGAAGCATACTTGTTCTTTGATGCCCAGGAGGATGCCAGTGGTGGGAGCCTGAGGAGCGCCCTGCTGCTATGGAGGGCCCAGACACAGATACCACGCTGTAATTACAGGGCATAACAAAACAAAACAAAACACTCTTCTCACCCGAGTTCTCCAGTGGATTGTAAAAAGCAGTTTTTCTGGCCTAGGTCCTCTGCTTAGGGTACCCCTGTTTTAATCTTTATTCTTCAAGAGTCATATAGGATGGGAACATGGAACAGGTCATATTAAATTATTGGCCTCTAATTGTTCTTAACCCCAAGGGCATAGCAAGACAGGGACTCTCACATCCCTTGGATTACATAGGAGACACAGAGGCTTTGAGAGTTCCCCAGGCTGCTCAGTTGTGGGGTCCAACTGGCCTGAGCTGAACCCCAAAAGGGGTACTGCCACAGTACACCCTAACATCTCTTCTCTGGCTCCTTTTGAGGTAGTGTCTGTTCAAGAGGTTCTAGGTCTCTACAAGAGCATAGTGCCTAAGGCATTTGACTGCTAACCAGAAGGCTGGTGGTTCAAACACACCAGCCACTCTTCAGAAGGAAGGTTGAGCAATCCACTTCTGTAGTGATACCGCCTGGGAAACCCAAGGAGGGGTCACTATGAGTCGGAGAGGGAGCTCTCTTCAGCTGATTTTGAGCAGATTATTGAAGAATAGAGCGCTTCATACTCACTTCTTATCATTCCTTATTGCAGTTTCTGTTTATATGTTTGTCTGCCCCTTAGGCTGCTCACCATCAGGACAGAATCTAACTTACTCATCTTTGTAGCTCACCTAGCAGTGTCTGCCACGTAGTGGGCAGTCAGGGAATTCTTGATGAAGGATTGGATCTTCCTGTGTGCCTGGGTTCAATTACATTTATCCTAATAAGTGTTTATATTTAAAGTCTACCTGTGCCCTTATAACAGTTGATTTGAGTTTTTCTGCCTTTGTACACCTCAAGTGTCTGGACACCTCATCTCATCTTTGAACAGTGAAGACATCAACATTGAGGGATATACAGTATAGTAATCCCCACCACCTTTCCTTTTCCCTGCTCAGACAAGGCTACTTGGAGAAGCTACAGAAATGATGTTTATTTATGCACAGCCATGTAGTTGTTTGTTGTTGTTAGGTGCAATCCAGTCAATTCCGATTTGTAGCCACCCTACTTACAACAGAACAAAACACTGCCTGGTCCTGCACTATCCTCACAATCGTTGCTATGTTTGAGCCCATTGTTGCAGCTAGGGTATCAATGCATCTTACTGAGGTTCTTCCTCTTTTTCGCTAACCCTTTACTTTACCAAGCATGATGTCCTTAGTGACTCCTAATTATTGCTTTTAATAAAAGGCGCCAGCAGCCTGTCGCACACTTAAATGCTCAGATCTGACATAGGATTCTCAAATCCTGGCCACGGGCTTGGAGGCATGTGCCTGATTCTACACTCCAAATTGCGAAATGCCAAAACTGGTTTTGGTACCATTCAGCCTGCTCGAGGTTCCAGATGCTGACCCTTGACCCTCTCCTCCTTCTCAAATGAACCACTGTGGGGCCACTGCTACATTGCATTTTATTTCTAAAGGAACCTCACACAAATCTTGGCAAATAGTTTATGTTAAGGGCACGCCGGCCGCCCGCACCGCAATCCCTGTTCAGTGCAGGCGGCGGCCACGTGCCCAAGCGCGTTCCCGCACCGCCCAACACGCCCCTTCTACACACGCGCACGCGCACATGCGCCAGGCCGGTAGACAATCCCTTCAGCTTTGCGCACGCTTCGGCCGTCATCCTAGCAAAGCTCAATGACGCATAAGCCCCGCCCCTCCCGCGAGGCTCCCGGAAGTTCCCAACCCGGATTTGGGCGCCTGGCCCTGCGCGGTTTCTGGCTGTGTTGGGGAGTAGTGTCGGGGCGATAGGACCTGGTGGGGAGAGAGAGATTCATAGCCGGGGTTGGGCCGCAGATTCACGTGCGCGACGCAGACCGAAACCTGGTGACGATGGCAGGGCCGCAGCCTCTGGCGCTGCAGCTGGAACAGCTGTTGAACCCACGACCGCGCGAGGCGGATCCTGAGGCGGATCTGGAGGAGGGTGAGGCCTGACTGGGGCAGGCCACATGCGGAACGGTGGGCCTGGCCCTGTGCGAGCCCTGGGGCCGCGTGGGAGGGGCTGGCTGCAGGGCCTCGCTGTGTAGCCTGCTCACCTTCTGGCGTAGAGGAAAACTGCCACACGAGTGGGGTGCTCCCGGGCTCAGGAGGGCTTCGGCGTCTTTCTGACAGGCACTTGAAAGACCTGGAGCTCTGGTGGGCGGAACATCTGGGACATTCAGACGAAGAGACCCTTTGGGGTCGAGGACTGTGGCAGGACACCAGTCTGGTAGCAGGCTGGAACTTGGAAGTTACCTTAAAGAATGCCCATATTGGTATTGTGTTAGAAATGGGGAGAAGGAAGCCTTACCAGTTTTTTCTCTAGCTGCTTCTGAGAACTTTTTTTGAAGAATGAGGGAAAGAGTAGAATTTCCTGGTGCTATTTAAGCCTCGAGACACTTGCTGAGGACCTGAAGAGTTTATCTATTGACTGATGTTTTTTATAAGCTGATGTTCAAGGTCTAGCTGAGAGTAATCTTGCTTTAGTGAGGAAGGGAGAAGAAGGAGGGATAAATGTGAGTGCTGGAGCGTGTCTTAGGAATAACAGTTGGAGGTTTCGGGGCTGTTAAGCCTGGATAAGGGAAGAAAACTCGCTGAGGGATGGGAACGACGTGATGATAGAACGTGATAGTTGATTTGTAAGCTGTATTTGAGGGACTGTCACACGTGAGAGAGGAAGAATTAGGCTAGTTTTGTATGATCCAAAGCGTGGAAATGTAACTTGTGAGTAGAGAGGCAGGGAGTCAACTTTCTGTTCCGGTACAGCGGGTGAGTGATGTATCTTGGGAAGTAATGAGTTCCCTGTTGGAAGTTGGTTGGGGATTCAAACATCAGATGAATGGGTCGACTAGGGTTAAAAGACACAGTTCCTTCTAACCTGAAGATTTTGATTATTTTCCACGCTCCCCAACAGCCACTGCAGCCAGAGTGATTGACAAGTTTGATGAAGGGGAAGATGTGGAAGGTGATATCCTGACAGTGGGTAGCATCAGAAAACTGGCATCGACCTCCCTATTGGACACAGACAAAAGATATTTAGGCAAGACCACTTCTAGAAAAGCTTGGAAGGAGGACCACTGGGAGCAGACTCTGCCAGGTTCATCCGGTGAGTAGACCGACATACTTATGTGGTACTATTTCTTAATTTTTGAATTTTAAAATCCCCCTCCCATTTTTTTTTTGCAGTGATGTGGGAGGTGGTCTCTGCAAGACTAATCTGTGTGCCCCTATGTATTATTTTAGGAGATACTACTGATTTGGCACTAGAAAGGGCCTTTGAGATTATTTAATTTCATGTTTCTAAAAATGTGACTCACTGCTTTTGAGTTGATTCCGACTCGGCAACCCCATTGTGTTTCCCAGGCTGTAAATCTTTACAGACTGATCTTCCTTCCACAGAGTGGTTGATTGGTGGGTTTGAACTGCTGGCTTTTGAGTTAGCAGCCAGATAGATGCCTTGTCCACTATGCCACCAGAGCTCCTTTTGCAGGAACTTAGGATACATAGTGATTAAGTTGCTATACTCTAGGTGTTGACTAGTGGTTTACCCTAAAAGAAAGGGCAATGCATAGTGTATATTAAAGAAGGCTGTATGTTTAAAAAACGTTGCGTCTGATGAGCATGCTGCTAATCTTGGGTTTTTGACCCTTTTCCTTTGGTTTTTTATCTCTTGCATTGTATTATTTGTGAAACTCATTTCTTTTTGTTTACCATTATAAAGTAAAACAAGCCTTCCCTCTTCCTGTGAGAGAGTTAGGAGGATGTGAACTTAGGGTTTTAAAGCATTGCAAGTTTCTCAGATTGGAAGAAGGGGCAGGATATAATCATTTGAGTGGATGCCATTTGCTTTCCTTTAGAGAGGTCAACAGTACCATGTGAGGAAATTATCGTTCAGGATATCAGATGTACAATTTAGTCCTTGCTGTAGCTCTGGGACCTTCTACTAAGCTCATTCCATAGTCTTTGCCTGTTGTTGTTGTTATGTGTCGTTGAGTTGGACCCGACTCATAGCGACCCCTCCTTGGGTTTCCGAGGCAGTTCACTACGGAAGTAGATTGCCCCATCTTCCTTCCGAGGAGTGGCTGGTGGGTTTGAACCGCCAGCCTTCTGGTTAGCAGTCAAGTGCCTTAGGCACTATGCCACCAGAGCTCCTAGTCTTTGCCTAGGTGCTGATAATAGGACCAATCATGAGACTAGTGGCATAGTGCCTAAGGCATGTGACTGCTAACCAGAAGGCTCTGGAAGGAAGGTTGGGCAGTCTACTTCTGTAGTGATACTGCCCGGAAACCCAGGAGGGGTCGCTATGAGTCAGATCCAACTCGATGGCAGTAAGTTTGATTTGGTTTGGTTTTGGTGTGTTAGGCACTATATATAATAAACTCTTTAAGTTCTAAGAGCCTGGGACATACTACATCCTCAAAAACTGTTGTTTACATGTATCATCTCATTTAGTTCTTCCTGTAGCCTTATGAAGTTGGTACTATTAATCCCCATTTTATACATAAGGAAATTAAAGGACAGATTGGTTAAGTAACTTGCGCAGGGTCACACAGCTAGTAAGTGGAAAAACTGGGATTCAGATAAAGGCAGTCTGACTCCAAGATCTCTACCCTTAAGCACTTCTGTATGAATGGTTCTTAATTTAAGAAACAGCATACTTTTAAAGTATTTAAAAGATTATTTCTGTTTACTATTTTTTGCATTTAGTTTTTGTATCTATATTTTTATCTTTATACTTTTTATAGTATTTTTTTGTAGCTTAAGTTTAATATAAAGAGGTGCTGAAGGCACATCATGTTTTGAAAAAATCTTTATCATATTGAAGAAAGTTGTTGGTAATTGGTCTCTATATCTTAAAATTGTGTTTGCTATACCATGGGGTCTTTATGTTCTATCGGGAGAAATTGGACAATCAGTAAAGATTTCTAAGTATCAGGTGGTACCTAAGCATAAGTAAACGTATAGCCTTCACCAGCTGCATCTCATCCATGAGCAGTTCTCTTGTCTCTCCTCCTACCACTTCCTTGTGCATTCTGTATTCTCGTGTACCTTTGTGATGCTAGACCTTAGAATATGCTATTTTCTCCTTTCCCTCCCCCTTCTCTGTCTGATGAACCATTAACTTACATTTAATAAAGCAAAATTATAATTATCCACCCGTGAAGCTATCCATCTCTTAACCTTTGCAGTAATGGCATTGTAGTATATTTATTGGTGAGCATATATACCACCCCCATCAGACTTTGAACCCCTCACTGCCAGGTATTACATTCTTTTTGTAGTTTCTTAGCTTTCATCTGTGCCTGGCTCATAGTGAGTACTTAATAAGTACGTAATAAATAAGGTAGACTGATGTGATAGAGGAGCTCTGGTGGTGCTTTAGCATTTGGCTACTAACTGAAAGGTCAGTGATTTGAATCCACTGGCCACTCTGGGAAGAAAGATGAGACAGTCTGTTTCCATAAAGATCTACAGCCTTGGAAACTCTGTGGGACAGTTCTACTCAGTCCTGTAGTATGGAAAAAAAAAACAACTCACTGCTGTCAAGTTGGATCCAACTCATAGCGAACCTTCCTTGGGTTTCCGAGGCATTATCACTGTGGAAATAGATTGCATTATCACTGTGGAAATAAATTGCCTCATCTCTGTTCTGAGGAGTGCCTGGTGGGTTTGAACCACCGGTCTTCTGGTTAGCAGTCAAATGCCTTAGGCGCTACGCCACCAGAGCTCCTAGTATAGGGTCACTGTGTGTCAGAATTGATGGCAGTGGGTTTTTGGTATGATAGAGATCATGCGTTTGGGATAGATAATGATAAAACACTTTTCCAGATGCAAGTTTGGGGAAACACCAGTTGAAATCTTGTCGCTCTTCAATGCCTTGACGAAATGCTGTCTGTTCCCTATAGTCTTACTAAGTTTACTTGCTTTGCAATTACACTTTCTCCTTGATCTGGATTGTCAAAACTTTGTCAAAGCACTTTTCATTCTTTCCTATGTTGCAATTTTTATGGGCCTGTCTTTTCCTACTAGAACCTTTGATTAGGGTAGGACCCATGTCTTATTCATCTTTGTTTCTCCTTTAGCATTTTAGAGATAGTAGATGTATGTTAAATACCATTTTCCTTAAGGTGAAAGGAAAGATATGGCCTGGTTATTTTCTCAAAGTAATACTTATTTTTATTTTTATTTTTTTCCTCTTAGACAAGGACGTATCTGATGAGGAAGGGTCTGGAGATGGGGATTCAGAGGGACTGGGTCTGGAGGAGTATGATGAAGATCACATGAGGGCTGCTGAGGGGCAGGAGTCTGGTGATGATGGGGAGAATGGCCTGGCCCAGAGGAAGAAGAGCAGAAGCCTCTCTGGGAAATCAGCGGGCTTCAATGTCCAGAGCATTAGTGACTTTGAAAAATTTACTGAGGGGATGGATGACGTTGGGAGCAGTGAGGAGGAGGAAGACGAAGAGGAAGAGAGTGGCATGGAAGAAGGGGATGATGAAGAAGACTTTGAGGGTGAGAGTGAGGAGGACAAGGCTGAAGATAGGAATAGTGAAGATGATGGAGTGGTGATGACCTTCTCCAGTGTCAAAGTATCCGAGGAAGTGGAGAAAGGAAGAGCTGTGAAGAAGCAGATAGGTTTGTACATGGTTTTGCTGACTGCTTATTTTTCAGAGTATCTGCATTTGATCTCTTTTGCTTGTTTGTTTGTTTTGCTTAATTCTGGCCTGGTCTGTCTTTCCTGTGCTCTTCCAATTAGTTTATGACATGTTCCACTTACCTGGAGGCCTAAAACCCCATTGCTCTATGCTTAGCCAGCCATTTCTACACTGAGCTGCTTAGCTGGTTTTGCTCTAGTACTTCTGGCTAACAAGGAAGATTGACTTTGATGAGAAGAGAGTTTTCTCCTCTCCTTGGGCTTTGGCATTCCTTTTCTCACAAGCAAATACTTGCTTCTAAGGTACTGAATGTACTTCCTTTAATAGAGAGTGTTTCCATAGTGTGTAACTGTGATAAAGCTATGCTGCTTTTAGAGAACTTCCCTCTCCCTGCCCAGCAATATTTTATAACTAAGGGATGAGATTCTTTTTTTTTACTTTCTCAGCCCTGTGGGACCAGCTCTTAGAAGGACGGATCAAACTACAAAAGGCTCTGTTGACTACCAATCAGCTTCCTCAACCAGATGTTTTTCCTATTTTCAAGGACAAAGGTGGCCCGGAATTTGCCAGCGCCCTGAAAAATAGTAAGAATACTTATGCTGTATTGGGGTTCTTAGAAACACTGGGCTACTACTTTGTGATGCGCTGGGGCTGATGTATCTGTAGCACCACAGTGTTAAAGAGATATTATTTCAGTGATATTATGATAAAGGCTAAGGAATTTCAGCTTTTTTCTTTCTTTAATAACAATGTAATCCTTTTATCAAATGAAGATGACTTTGGTGGAGGTGGATTGGATGCTTGAGCTGTGTCTGTTCCTCTTCTCACCTGCCCTCATTCCCTCTCCTCTTGGCTATGGGTTACTTTTTTAGTGCTTGGGGAACACTATTTGAAAACCCCTTGGTATAGAAAAAAGAGAGAATGAATGACTAAACTCAGTTTATTGAAGTTGATTTGTTTTGTACTTAACAGATAGGTCTTTGGAAGGTTTTTAGAACATACTAAGATGATGCTAATCCTACCTTGCTATAAACCAAACAACCAAACCCACTGCTGTTGAGTTAATTCTGACTCATAGCGACCCTCATTGGGTTTCCAAGGTGGTAAATCTTTGTGGAAGTAGATTGCCCATCTTCCTCCCACAGAGCAGCTGGTAGGTTTGAACCCCCAGCCTTCTGGTAAGGATGGCATATATAGAGAGTGTGGGAAGATGATGACTGCAAAGGGAGAAGCACATTTTGGAAGAGAATCACTGAGCTATAAAGTCAAAGAATTTTGGAAGAGAAAAGGAATGTAGGGATTATTTGGTTCTTAATTCCCTCATTTTACAGTTGAGAAAACTGAAACCCAGACAGCATAACTTGCCTAAAGTTACAGAACTTGTTCCTGCACAGTAAAGACAAAACTCTGGCTTTTCTGCCTTAAGATATAGGAGTCTTCTTGCATCACACTGCCTCCTGTATTTGTATGCCTGTATACTGAGTGGTACTGAAGGACTGGGGCAGAAGGTGATTTGGGGTGAATCTGTGTGCGCACTGTGGTTGGAATTGCTTTTTCATTTCTTGCTGTGGATAAGGCAAGACCAATAGTTGATGCTCAGAAGCTTCTTCTTTTTTTTTTTTTTTCCAATTTTTATTGTGCTTTGGGTGAAAGTTTACAGAGCAAATTAATTTTCGATACACATTTCATACATGTTTTGTTTCATGACATTGACTGCAATTCCTCACAGTGTAACAGTCCTCTTCCCACTTCCTCCCTGTAGTTAACCTCTTCCCTGTGTCCTTCTTTCTATGCATTCCTGCCTCCTGAGCTGTCTCCCTGTGCCAACACTGTCCTTCTGTTCTCCCACTGTTGATCGCTTTAAGGAGTGTACCTACCTGATATAAATGTTCACCGTATGAGTTTGTCTGTCATTTGGCTGGAAGCCACAGGAATGAGTTCAATTTCAGGCCTGAATGCTGTCTAGGAGCTATGGTCTTGGGGGTCTAACCAGGCTCTGTCAGACCAGTAAACCTGGCCTTTCTATGATTTTGAGTTTTGTTCCATATTGTTCTTCCACTGTATCTAGGATCTCCTGCACTGATCCCTTTCTAAGTGATTGACAGTGGTAGCTGGGCATCATAGTTCTGGTCTCATGGTGATATAGGCTGAGGTTTGCATGGTCCACTAGTCCCTTGGACTAATTTTTTCCATGCATCTTTGGCTTTGTTCATTCTTCTTTGCTCTGGATGAGGAGAGACCCATTGTTATATCTAGATGGCTTGTAAGCTTTAAGACCTCAGTTGCTACTCACCAAAGTAAGATGTAGATCAGTGTTTTTGTGTAGTATGCTAGGCCAGTTGAGCTTGATGTCCCTGGTGACCATGGTCCCAAGCCCACAGGTCCAACAACTTGCTCCATCAGGGCAGCTAAGAAGTTATGGAATTGCTCTTTCTTGTTTGCATGCCAAGACTTAGTGTTTTCATTTGCTCTTTAAAATGTAATTTTGATAGTATTATGGACTTAGAGTTGAAAGGAACCTGAGGAGGACATCTACTTTTTAAACAATCAAACTCTAAACCAAACTCACTGCTGTCGAGTCAGATCCAACTCATAGCGACCCCTCCTTGAGTTTCTGAGGCAGTATCACTATGGAAGTAGATTGCCCCGTTTTCCTTCCAAGGAGTGGCTCGTGGGTTTGAACTGCCAGCCTTCTGGTTAGCAGTCAAATGCTTTAGGCAATATGCCACCAGAGCTCCTTTTTAAACAATACCTAAGCAGTTTTCCATGTTTTTTTTTTTGAGTACTTCTTTGCTATTTTTAATGTCCCTGTACCCCGATTCCTGGTGTGCCTTTGGAATGAGACCCAGACTAATCTAAAATGTCTTAAATACTTCACAACAAGGCCTTTCCATTTTGTTACTCATTTTTTTTCTTTCTTGAGCCTTTTTCTTTTTTAGGGATTCATCTTAATTATAGATATTTTTAGGTTAGTCATTGTCAGGTATATCTATGGACATATTTTTATTCTTGGATACATTTAATTTCTTCAGCTATTTTGATACTACTTTTATAGTAATTCTGATTTTTTTTTTTTTTTTTTTAATTTATCCAGTTGACTCTTTGCCTCCTTGGTGAATTTTGGTTACTCTGACAGATGTTCATTAATCTGACAAGATGGGTTATGGTGGAAGAGGGAGAGGGCAGGTATGTTTGCCTGATATCACATAGTCTCAGATGAGAGGGTGGAGTGTTCTTTAATAACCGGAATTTGTTCGTATCTGAAGGGTAACTGCTCCTCATTTCATAGCAGTGTGACATAATATGTGGTATGCTTCCCTGTCTTGGTAAATAGCACTTTAAGAAAAAATTTCTTGGCTACATTATCTGGGATGAACAGTTTATACTGTGCTATATATTACGTGAGGAGCCCTGGTGGCACAGTCATTAAAGTGCTAGGCTGCTAACCAAAAGGTGGGTTTGAACTCACTAGCCATTCCATGGGAGAAAGATGTGTCAGTTTGCTTCTATAAAGATTTACAGCCTTAGAAACCCTATGGGTCAGTTCTGCTCTGTCCTGTAGGGGTTGCTAAGTCAAAATTGACTCGATGCCAGTGAGTTAGGTATTTTTTGCTTTATATTACATAGTTGGTTTGGAACATAGCCTGAAATTTGTACCAACTCCAGAACAAACACTGGAACTTAGTGCCTTTAATTAACTCTTTTCAATTTATTTGATAGCATAAACTCACTGCCGTCGAGTCGGATCTGACTCATAGTGACCCCTCCTTGGGTTTCTGACGTAGTATGACTATGGAAGTAGTTGCCCAACCTTCCTCCCGAGGAGTGGCTGGTGGGTTTGAACCGCTAACCTTCTGGTTAGCAGTCAGCTGCCTTAGACACTACGCTACCAGAGCTCCTAATTTATTTGATATAACAGAATATTTAAAGTTAGACTGCCTGGGTTTAGATTCCATCTCAACAAGGTATTAGCTTTGTGACCTTGGGCAAATTACTTAACTCCACAGTAAAATGGGTGTTATACATTTGTGAAGATTAAAGGACATAATGTAAAGCAGTAGCACAGTGTTTGACACATAACACACTTATGAATGTTACAGCCTCAGTGTTTTCTGTGTTTTTTTTTTTTTAGTTTATTAGGGTATTAGTTTTCTAGGACTAAGTGTCTTGAAAAAACAAATTTGTTCTCTCACAGTTTTGAGACTAGAAGTTAAAAATCAAGGTGTTGGCAGTACCATGCTGCCTTTGAAGGTTCTAAGAGAGAATCCTTCCTTGCCTCATCCTACTTTTTGGCAGTTGTCAGCAATTCTTGGGGTTCCGTGGCTTGTACCTGTATCACTCCAGTGTCTGCCTCCCTGTTTATATAGCCTTCTTCCCTTTGTGTCTCTATGCCCAAATCTCTCCTTATGAGGATGCCAGTGATTGGATTTAGTGCCCATCCTAACCACTGTGACCTTACTTTAACTTGATTATATCTGCAAAGACTGTATTTCCAAATACAGTCGCAATGACAGGTACTAGAGGTTAGGACTTAAGTGTATCTTTGTGGGGGACACAATTCAGCCTGTAACACTTAAAATTCAAACTCCTTGTATAATTTATTTTGTTCTGGAATATAGATAGTTCTATGTTTTACTGTAATACTTAAAATTCAGTTTCTGCCTTGTATGGCTGCTTGGAAAGGTAGGTAGAGAGTTCTTTATTTCTAAACTCGGCAACTACCTCCTTGAAGCATTTATTCTTTCCTTGAAATATTTTCCTTTGGCTTTGGTGACATTAAATATGCTGTTTGGATTCTTCTACCTTTCTGATTTTTCTTCTTCTCAGGTGCTTTTTTTTTTTTTTTTAATCCTCTTAATGTAAATTTCATTGCATTTAGGATCCTATTCTCAGGTTGTACTTTCTCAATGTAGTCTCTCCTTGCCATTGTCATTTACTTTCATGGCCCTAACTATGTATGACATCAAAAACAGTAGACTTTCAGCTATGTTCTAGCCACAATAGACTTGTAAGCACCATGCCTTTATACCTTCAGCACCCTAAAATCTAACAAAAATCTTCTTCCTTCTCCCAACACATACGTGCACTTAGTCCCCAATCACTTTGATGTGGAGTCTTTCCCATTGCTGACAGAACTGGGATTAGAACCCAAATTTTCTTGACTTTATCCAGTATTGTTTCTAGGTAGCCACTTCTATGATTGTCTCTCTTGAAGTGTTTATTTTAAAAAAAAAAAAAAAGAACACTTTATCTTATATATAAAAAAATCTTTGATGGTGTTGGGGGTATTCAATTTCACAGCTTGTTTTATAAATTAGATTATATAATGTTTTTTTCCTGTCACATTTTATAGACAACTAAATTCTTACCCAAAATATTAATTTTTTTTTGAACTAAGTAATGCTATGAGGTGTTTCACAGATTGACCATTGTTCTTTTACATTGTGTAGCGTTCCATTGTGCGTATGTACCATAACTTGTTGATCCCTTCCTCTGTTGATAGGCATTTAGGTTGTTTCCATCTTTTTGCTATTGTGAATAGTGCTGCAGTTAACATGGGTGTGCATAAATCTGTGTCATAGCT